GCAATGTCACAAACATTGATTGGATGAATCTGGCTACCCAAAAGTGGAAAAGATTATGATGGACAGATTCCGACTTCCTAGCCCTAGGAAATAGGGGAATAGTTACAGATACAGATGAATCAATTAAACAAGGATCATTGCTATATATCATACTTCAATATTCAACAGTCTAACTTGAAAATTGGTAATGCTATTTAAGAAGATCTACAGCATATACGCTACATACGGGTTATTTATTACAGCTAGTAAATCTACTAGGCTTACAGCTATGTTAAAGGGGCTAGAGAATCACAGCGCCTAACATGCCTAATTAAGGGATAAGGCAAATTCGCTAGATCTATAAGAAAAGATTAACCTACTAGAAAGGGGTATATAAATACTAACAAGATGGTCTATAATACAGCCTTGACTACTAAGGCTATTAGATTACTCTAGTACGCTAACTCCCCCACCCTACATCCGAGCCACCCCCGCATCCGAGCCACCATCACTACCACTATCACCACCACTATCACCACTTATTTCACTATCTCTGCCGCCCACCTATATGTAACTTTCGGCCTCGCTAGGTAATTCAGATGCCCTAGATTCATTCAGACTATCTATATTACTAGGATCTAGACTTCAGGCCTCAATTATATCCTCTATAGTAGCAAAGGTGCTATTAGGAGATAGGTAGATCTTTTTCCTCTTATGTCACTGTATATTATCTAACTAGGCCTATAATAAGTAAACCTGCTTTTCTAGAAGGGCTGCTCTAGATGCCTGCTTATTATATCCCTTTTATATCTTTCTAAATAGGTAGTAAATAGTATAAGTATCTACCTTATCCTTACCTAGCTAGGTTAACTAGTGTAATTAATACTATAAATTAGTAGATTAATAAGGTATTAACTATAGGATAATAGATTTAGCTTTATCTTACTACTAGCTGCTAGGCTAACTTATCTGTTAGCTAGCCTAGATAATCTAATAGGCCTTAGTTACTATTAAGTTAGATAGGGGGCGTCTTATATATATAGACTATAATCTAGATAACCTCTAGCTACTACTAATATTAATAGATATAATAGATACCTTATAGGCCTTAAAACAACACTTTAAGAATACCTTTCTACTAGTAATAGTTAAATCTATAACCTAGTTATTTAGATATCTAACCTCTTTATAACAGGCCTACTTTAATAGGCTAAAGACAGCTATATCTAGAGGCTAGAGGATAGTAGAGGTATATAGCAGTAGAAATAGTGGATATATATTATACTACTAGTATTACTATATAAAGTTAATAGTTATATAGCTATAATACCTATTAAGAACTAGTAGTCTAGGCTTCTCTAGCTAGGTAGGCCTAATATATAAGATAAAAACCTATTAAGACTAGTAGTCTAGGCTTCTCTAGCTAGGTAGGCCTAATATATAAGATAAAAACCTCCTTTAGCTATTTAAAGGTAGTATTATTAGTTATCTAGCTATTATTAGTTACTATAAATTACTATAGCTTATATATATTAAGGTTAAAAAAGAACTACTAGACCTAAAGTAATTTACCTTTATATATAACTAAGGGAGGTAAGGAGCTACTTATAGCAGATATATACCTAATAAGAAATACTTATACCTAGGATCCTAGCTGCTTTTTCTAGATATATTATAATACCTTAGAGCCTAGTACTAGTCTATTACCTTTTTTACCCTCTATAATACTAGTCTTATCTATATTCTATTAGTTAAATAGATAAATTCCTTAGATAGTAAGTATATTAGTTAGATAATAAAAGAAATCCTTAATAACCTTAGGGGAATAGGCTACTTATTACTAAGTATTAATTACTTTAAATTAAAGGGTTCTAATAAATAGACTTTACTATATAAATTAGGCTATCTATTTCTTCCCTATAGGAGGATACTTATTACCTATTATATACTTTACTAGTGTTATAAGCAGGTTAAGGTAACTAACTCTAGTATAAAGTAAAAGCTTTAGTAATAATACACCTATATTATTATCCCCTGTTCTACACTATATTGTTACGTTAGCTAGCACCTAACTAGTTAGATTATAATAACTAGACCCTTTACTTGTTAATAGTTAATATATCTACTAAAGAACTATTAAAAGGTAATATAGGCAGCTAGATTATTCTCTTACGCCTAAGATAAGTGCTACCTATCTTTAAAGGCAGTATTCCTACTTGACTTACTATAGTATTAATTCTTATTAATTATTATAATAGTATTTAATTAGTAGATAGGTATAACGTATATAATAAGTAAGTACACTAGATAAGTAAGCGCGCCACTAAACTATAACTATCTAACTATATAATATTTCCTTTTTATTTCTCTACTAATAATAATAAAATTAACTTATAATAAAGCTTAGGTATAGCTAGCTGTCTAAGCGTATAAAAAAGATCTAAAACTTAGTATTTAAGCTATAGTAAAGATATATAACGTTAGTTATAATTTAGTAATATATTAATTAAAAGGTATACTATTGTAATATAATATTATACCTAACTTATAGAATTTAAATAAAACTTAAAGAGAGAAAGCTAGTTAAGTTTATTCTTAACTAGATTCCTAATTATTTCCTCCTTACCTTAGTAGTATTAAAGAAATAGCTAATTAACTGCTTACTAACTATAACACACCTTTAGTTAGTAAGCGCTAGGCCTTAAACTTTATTAAATAAACACTAAAGCTCTAAATACTTTTTTTTATAAGTATAACTATAAGAGGGCTTAATATAAAGATCTAGACGTAATAAACATATAGTTTTACCTTATAGTAAATATAATTATAAAATATAGTATTATAAAGTCTAATATTTATAACTTTAATAAGACTAGCTTTATAATAAGCTAGATTATATTTAAAATAGTTATTATAAGCTCTAAAAGACGTTTAAATATAAAAATAGTGTAGCCTAGAAATTAAGAATAAGTTATAGTTATTTAGGCTATTAGTTTATTTAGTTATAGTGTCTTACTATATATTATTATTAGAGGTAGAAATTTCTTTTTACTTAGTATATAGAATTTAGTTTTTTACCTAACTAAGGTATTATAATATTTAAAAGTAAATAAATAATAAATAAAAAAGACCTAAATTAGCTTTAGTACTTTAATTAATATTTAAAGTTATATATAAAAAAGAAATATTACCTTCTTATTATTAATAAGTATAAAAGTTATTATTTTATAGACTTTAAGCTATATTATAAAGAAAATAATATTATTACCTTTTATATACTACTTTATTTATCTTATTTACTTTAGCCCTTAGATATTAAGTGTTTTAGGCCTTTAAAGCTAGCGTATAGTTAAGAAATTAAGGATAAAATATAATAAGGTAATACCTATATTATAAAAGATAACTTCTTTTTAGTATTTTATAATACCTTTAAGTAAGCTCTTATAAAAGTAAATATTTAAGGAGGCTTTAGAGAGGTAAGGCTTATCCCTCTAAGTCTAGAAAGTATGCTATTAAAGCTAGATATTAAGTTATACACTTTAATACCTCTAGGATTCCTTCTAATAACACTACTAGCTTAGACTTCCTAGACACTATATAACGTAATAGAGATATCTTCTTAAGGAACTCTTATTAAGGATTACTTTATTAATTATCTAGATAGCTTCTTAATATATAAATTAATAGCTACTAAGTATATTCTTAAAAGAGTATTAAGAATTATATATAAAAATACTTTATTAAAGGCTAAGGTTAAAACCCTTTATAAGAAAAATAACCTACTTAACTAATATAAAAAAGTAAAAAAAACTTATTTAAAGTAAAAAGAAAGTCTTAGTATAGCTAATATATAAGATATTTAGTTATAAAGAGAGGTAATAACCTAGATTAAGAAGAAAATATATTAAAATAGTAGTTATAGATTAAGAATAAAAACAGGTAAATAGTAGTATAGCACCTATAAGAATATTAAATATAATATATAAATATACTAGTTTAATAAAGAAATATCTAAAGAATAGGATTCTAAGTAGTTTAAATTAATTTTATTATTTTATAGTTACTTCTTAGTTATATTTATAAAGTAGCTATAATTAGGTAGCGCACTTACTTATCTAGTGCACTTACTTATTATATACGCTATTAGTTATTATAAATATATATATTAGACTATTAATTATTAAATAGTAAGGATTATAATAGTTACTTAATTAATTCTATTATATGTTATATATTTATAGTAAATTACTATAGAAATAGGGAAAACCCCCTATTTCTTAGTTAGGAAATCCCTAGCTAATCCTAGCGATATTATTAGTAAAGTTACTATTAGAAGTAGGGCTAATTCACTGCCTGTTCCCCAACAATTCGCCGTAGGGCAACCGTGCATTCGCCGGTTAATTCACGTGTAATTCCGCCACATTTGACACAAGTGACCTTACAAAACCTCAGACCAATAAGACTACAGCAATCCAGGCCCACTATCTAATAGCTGTTAGTAATCATTCACAGAGACCCAGATTTGGGTCATGTGAGGTCACTTCGCACTCAATGGGATAAGAACCTTGCTGGTGCGTCATTTACAGATTAAGGTGAGATTAAGGTTCTCTATATAAGTTATGGATCACAACTGTGGACCTTTGTGACACACCATCTCAATAATCATGTGAAATCAACAGCTTCTACAATCCTGTTGGCTTTGAAAAATACTAAGCAGCACCATTTGAAGGAATCAGCAGCTGACAATGCTTATGATGCACATGTTAACAAAGCTTTGATGAGATCGAAAACTACCAGGCAAACAGATAAGTCTTGAAGTGTACGTACGAGTGCCACGATTGGCTGGAAGCAAGCTCGTTGATATACTATTACGCCTATAAAGATCCTTGACGCCTTAATTTTCTAAGCCTGAACAACCCGCCCTTCCGGTAAATTCACACAAGTCCTTTGGAAGGACTGATAGATTCTTCACACCAAGACCTTCAACTGTTGCCATCTTTCATGCCATTTTGCCGCCCGCTTTACTGGCCGATCTTGACATTCTTCAACATCTCACGACACTCAGGGTGATACATTCCGATGATGCATTGTTTGCCTGTTCAAATCACATATATATATATATGAGTCATACTGAGATAAAAGTTATCATTGAGAGATTTTGTTACTTACGGCAATCAATGAACCTGGGGAACAGAATGAAGAAGGGAACGACCCAGGCGATGCACTCTTTGCTGCACTTGCCCCAGCATTCATTAGGGATTTGTTCAGGCTTGCCTGCCATGCCCACAGCTACCATGAGGGCAACTATGAGGAGGGAAGTGAGTCCGGTGAAGCGCATGATTGATTTGTTTTGTCGGCAGAAGGAAATTCGGATGAGTAGGATCTTGGAATGTGTCTGGTAATAACAATGTCTGGAAAGAAAAGATGGTTGTAGGTATTGGGAGCTCGGGAGTCTAAATACTCCTGCCATTTAGGCTCTTTGGCTATCAAATTTGCTTTTATGTGGATTCGGATTCCTAAGCTACTCATCGAGGTGAGGGATGTGACGATAAACCAGTCGTGACGTTCATTTTGGCTGCAGATCTAAAGTCTATTCTCGATATGAACGGTCCACACAAGGTGACTGACCTTGTGATTTGCCTTTGAGTGAAAGACGTTCAGGTACGCCCTTATTCTTGGATCTGTCTGTAAAGCCTCTGAGGCGCGTCTGAAGCCTGAAAGGTTGAAAAGCACGCAAGTTTCCAATCCTTAATATATGTCATTTCAATCAAGGCGAAACCTAGGTCGGTAGAAATGGGGATATATCCATTAGTTATACTCTGTGGAATGGCGCCTGGATGGCCGTCGTTCTCTATTCTCACAATCACCTCACTTTAATTTGAATCACCCAATGAATCCCGTTCAGTAATCAAAACAGAACTTTAGGGCTTCAGCCACCAGCCACTCCTCTAGCAACTGCGAATGCACAGAATGCTAATATGTACAACCCTCCAGCGAAAAGAATGAGCCCATGATAGGCACCGCCCGACCATTGTAGGATGGCCCCGGCGAACGGCACGCCAACGAGGGCGGCTAAACTAGAGACGAAGAACGCCGTGCCGCTCCTCTTTCCATAATCCTCCGTCTTGCAAACCTGCCCCACGCATACGGGCGTCCGGCTGATGGCAGCGCCTGACCAGAAGCCATAGAGGACCGCAAATGCCGTTATAGGTGCCTCTCTTCCTTCATTTGTTGTCAGCCAAAGCCCAAGAATGAATGCGGAGCATATCAGCGTGGTGATACACATGACGTTGAAACATCCAAATCGATCTGCCACATAGCCCGGGAGGCCGCGGCCTGGTATGGCGCCGACGTTGAGGAGAGCGTTCAGAAGCAAGGCTCGTTGCAGATCGACACCCTGATGAATGGCGTAGGAGCATATGTAGGTATAAGGTATGAACACGGCAAACTCTACCAGAAATACAGCCAAGGTAGTAAGGCCAAAGCGTACCTCTGTCAAAGCTTTCAGGTCGATGGAGCCGCCACCCTTTCTGTTCGGTGGTAGCCTTTTCCGCAAAAGCGAACATGCCAATACAGACGCGGCAGCGCAAATGAAGCCTACGGTCCTGATAGCCCACGGGAAACCTTGCTTCGGGGCCATGTATAGAATGATCAGAGGGAAGACAACCCCGCCGACTCCTCCGGCCGTGCAAGCTATACCGGTGGCTATACCACGGCGCTTACAGAACCAATGACCGATGGACGCGATGCTCGGATTGAAAAGTAACGAGGCTGATATGCCACCAATAACTCCAAATGTCAGAAAGAACTGGTAGAACTCTACTCGGGCGCTGTCAGTTTGCTGTCATTTGGGTACTTGCTGGAAAGCAAAAACTTCTACCTTTGCAGACGCTCATGAGCATGACAGACGCCACAATGCCGATACATCCAGGGATTACTAGAAACCTCACCTTGTATGCATCAAAGAGAGGGCCTGAGCTCCAAAGGTCAGCTCCGCCAGAAATACAAGCTTCTGATATTTGGTGTTGCCTTACCGACTTGTGCGCCACAGAAGTACAAGAAGAAAGCATAAGTGCTGAAGACCCAGCCTATCGTCGACTCTGGGAGACCGTGAAGCTCGTGTTCGGTGATCCAGGCTTGGAGGACAGCCAAGGTATTGAGGAGTCCCATACATGAGAACATGGCACACCATGCACCCACCACAACTAGCCACGCATCGCGACCGCCCTCCGGGTAGGTTTCCGAGTCATCATCCAGCCCTAATGTCCGTGAGGTATCGATTAGCTTGCCAACATTCCGCAATACCAGCACTATACAAATCGAACTGAGTGCTAGGAAACGTACCTACCATTCATGCATGCTTCTTCGGGGGAGCAGGTGGATAGGTTTTCGGAGACGCGCATAATATTATTGATTGCGGGTGATGCGGCACAATCGGTTCCAAGCTGACCGTTATCACCTCTTGGGTGCTAAGTCTCATATATCTCATGTGTTTCTGAGATTCCCAGGCCTTCAAGCAGTCGTTCTACTCTCTCTAAGGTTGTGCCCAGCGAGTGAGTTGAAGAAGTTTTGTGCAAAGATGTCGGGACAGCGTGGAGCTAAGTGATTGCGGAAAGGCCAATGGCGGTGAATGTGTGATCTCCACTGCCTCCATGCTACTAGGTGCTTACAAGCGCAGCTATGACGGAAGCTTGGTCGATCGTTCAACGACCTCAACTTCGAACCCACACGCCAAACGATTTCATTTACTATTCAAGGCTTCAGATTACCAAAACGCTGTCTGATTTTGCTCATCTCATCAGAACAACCTAATTGGCGAGAATATTACAGAACCTTCGTCTTACTCTATCAGACTTGGAGCACTCTGCCGAAGAAGCAAGCTTATTCTTTAAATATGTATACGGCCCTTACCGGCTACTGTCGCTTCACCTCGTTGACAGAGTTGGGTGTAATAGAGTTCCCATGACACAACGTCCTTTTCTCTCGTTTGGTGTCCGGCCAACACTTCAAGCCTAGAAGTTTTCTCGCCACCAGAAGCTGAATGGAGAATTGGAAAGTAGTGGATTCATTTTCCACATTCTGTTGTTCTGGTGTGGTGAGATGCAAAGGCTCGAATAAAAGGCTGGCTGGTTGTCTACAACATTCCCCAGTTCAGAGGAATCACCAACCCAGTTCCTCTTCTTCTCAGCTTCGTAGTTTCACTAAATTTGCAACCAGTACCATAGAATTGGTACGAGTCCTTATCAGCCCATATATGTCAAAGCTAGAAGTGACCAGTTAATCGACGGAGGACTCGCCGTATCTTACACTTTACAATGACGCCTTCTTCTCAATATTAAGGCCGGAAAGGTTGGCATGACAAACAGGATTATTACATAGGACTTCATCCCAACGAAGCTACTACAGATCTTTTTCCATGTTAAATTTTCGAGCTTTCCTCCTTTTTCTACTGATATTTTGCAATATGGCAGGTCTTGAATCGCAGGAGCCGTCCAAGTTCGTTCCAGAGACCACGTTCTACCATGGTATCCCAGACGATTTACTACGCCCCAGAGGCTACAATAGAGCCTTCGTATCTCATGATAATTGGCCACAAAGCATACCAGTAGTCATACTAAGCCACACATCCGTTTCCCTATGACCATTTTACACTGCTCATAATGAGCTTTCGGTCATACCCTTCGCGCTCAAACTCTCCTAAGTGGCGCATATCTAGAAAGTTTCTTGACTCCATGGTAGGCATGAGAAGTATAAGGGTGGGTATTGAAACTCTGCCCTCATTTCACCCAATTAATGCCATATCCTAGCTGCAAGCCTCCGATCCCTATCGGACAAGTGAACTTTTCTCAGGTAGTGGAAGCCACATGTCGCCGTTTGGTTAGCCAATGCATATTTTAACTCTTGGTGCATGCTCATGAGCTCGGGATTGTCTTTTAGCTATACATTTCAGTTAGGCATAGGAATGAAGGAGGTTTCAAGACTGAAAGAGCTTCATCTCGCTTTCCCGTAAGCCTCATTCCACGTCCGATTCCCCAGCTCTTCGCCGAACAACGAATTCTGATGCCAAGCCGCATTCGAAGCATCGCTTTACATTAGGACAGCAGCAAGCTTTAATCCATGACCAAGATGGCAGACTCGAAAACCAGCGTTAAGATGTCCGCCGAAGCCTACCCCTACCGCGACGAAAAAACGCGTCACCTTTCGATCGACAACCGCCCCATCGACACCGTCACCTACAGACAGAGGACCACCACAACCCGTGTTGCGGTGTCGAATACAATATTGATCGGTATTAGTGCCGCGATCGGCTTCATGATGGTTACCGGTACCGATGTAGCACTCTGGCTTCTATTATACTTGGACCGAAAGATGCCGATCACCTACATGCTCGCCTGGGAGCTGTTTTTCGTAGCGAGTTGGGCCATCGTATCCTGGATCATGTACAAAATCCTCGTCTTCGTCAAATTCGCCCCGTTTCGAGGAGCAAAGCATAGCGAACGCCATCAGTGTTAGCTACATCACCATCGATGCTCTTGCTGGGTATCAACAAAGGATGTTTAAACGCCAAGGTCGATGGGTTTGGATTTTAATAGTGGTGTAGGAGCACAGCAATTGGAATCTTTTAGGCTCTCCCCGACTCTTCCGAAGTATTTTGAAACTTTCGCTGGGAATGGAGAAGGCAATGCATCCGAGTCCACGTTCCTAGGCGAGACCAAGCAACCAACTTTCCACAACTGCGACGCCTAAACATCGAGAAAGCCAGACGGTTTTTACGTTTCTGCCTATGTACAAATATTTTGGCTTGTCTGAAAATATACAATGAAGCTTAACCTAGATCTACCAAACGTGACCCGGTCTTCTTTCTTGGTGTCTTCCCCCTCCGCATAAGCACAACATTGGGTCGTCAATTAGTAGACGATCTTGACTGGTGTCTTGACGTAGGGAGCGAGGCTGGTGGCGCCGTTCATCTTCTGGTAGATGGCCTGGACGAACGCTTGAGAGCTGAGGTCGGCGCCAGCGGGGCTGGTGTGGGTGTTGTCCTTGATGTACAGAGCGCGGACCGCTGAAGAGCCGAGCTTGCGGTACATGTTGCTTACAGCCTGGTGATGGTCGACGAAGGTTACGGCGGGGGTGTTGAGGGCGGCGGCAGCCTTCTGCTGCATAGAGACGAAGCGGGAAGGGGTGCCGTCCCAGGTGCCGGTGGCCCACTGGTTCTTGGGGGTCTGCGAGCTGAGGATGACGGTGGCACCCTTAGCCGTCATGAGCCTGGCGGCCTGGATGACGTAGAAGACAAAGGTGTAGACGGTCTCGCCAGTCTTGTCGGAGATACAGGTCTCTGTGCCCTCGCCGGGGCAGACGGAGCGGCCGTTATCGTTGGAGCGGGGCGAGCCGACATCGTTGTGGCCGAACTCGATGACGACGATGTCGCCGGCCTTGACCTCGTTGGCGACGCTCTGGAAGCGGCCCTCGTTCCAGAAGGAGCGCGACGAGCGGCCGCCGATGGCCCGGTTGACGACGGCGATATTCAGGTACTTGCCGACGTACTGGCCCCAGCCGTCCATCTGAGCGTCGCTGCTCCGGGCCATGGTGCTGTCGCCACAGAGGAAGAGAGTTGGTGCCCGAGCAGCAAGCTCGGCAGGTGCGGCAGCGGCCTGGAGGGCGCCCAGCGCCAGAGAGACGAAGAATGACGAGAACTTCATGGTGCAGATGTGAGAGCTACCCAGAGAACCGAGGCGAGACAAGGGATAGTAACGGGGCAGCTGAGCTATCGGAGGTGGCCGTTCCCATGATAAGATGCTGAGTCCGTTCTCTACTTTATAGCATTCTAAACATCGGTTAAGTCATGGTCTTCTTGGACCGACAGTTAGCAGGCAGTTTGGGAGAGGTCCCACTCCGCTCGGCCGAACTCCAAGTTCGTGTGATTTTTGGTTTGCCAAGACAGTCAGACATAATGTTCCGCCAGTCGGCGTGACTGCACGAACGCTGATGGAAGCACAGTTCATATATTGCTGATGCGACCTTGTTTGGTCTCAGGGGGCTGGCGGCTTGACTCTACTCGAGACCACAGATTACCCGGCCGGCACTGCAACAGTGCGAGAAGTGACCGGCTACAATGCTGCACCTGGCCTATTTCGTCGTTTCGGAGCCTTCAGCCGCTCGAAAATCCGTCCAGTATTTGAGATTCGATGCTTGTGGAGGCGAGATTGCTCCCGGGGTCATGAGTTTATTCATTAGGCCCTTGGCCCTGGCCCTCTGCCCACTTGCCGCCTGGTGGCTTGGCCCGTCGCATTGGGGCCCTGGCAGACCCAAGCACCTTACTTCTTTGCCGACAAGAAAGAAGAAATGTAAATGGGCCGCCTAGGAGTTTGCGGGGGTGTGCCGATCCATGTTGGAATTACTCCAGGCTTAGGGAGAACTGACGGTTCACTCGGCTGATGTTTGATGCGAGGGAGGAGGTGGTGCATTATGTCAAGGAGGAAGGCCCTTACCTGGGTTTGAAGACGATAGACCGCCACTTCAAGTAAGACTGTTACTCTCACGGTCCGTTTGGTGACAAGGGTAACAGTCTCCTGGAAAGACGGGGACAGGGGCATCCGGGATGCGAAAGGCGGGGTAGGGAACTGCGGGAGGTCGATTGCTCCCGTCTTTGCTCCGGCGTCTAGTCTAATAGCCCTCTGACCTTCGAAAGCTTTCGATCAATATTTGGGTGAGTGTACAATACATATGCTTGGCACCAACAGAGTATTTCGAGGAAACAGGCAAGGAGATCCAAGCAGCTGATGAGGGCTTCCTGCCATGTATGTTGCCATTTAAACCAAATGCTGAACCCTTGGAGCTCTTGTGTGCTCTGCCACCAGAGGCCAGTCGGCAGTAGAAAAATAACCGCCTCAATGTCAGCATACGCTCTTCAACGCACATTATCCAGTCGACACATTTGCATCAAACAATAAAGGCATGCTGCTGTTCAGCCGGCGTAATGATTTTAGCGTCTAGCTTACCTAGGTAGAATGGACATGTTTAGTTCTTGGAAAACCATTAGCGTAACCATCTCTGCCTTTTGCTTCCCACATATCCCATCACAACAAACAAGGGCGACTCTGCAGTGAGAACGAGGTATGTCACAGTCAATCAGCAGCAAAACAGATGGTGAAGATGCTATGCAGCCAGCCCTCTTTCGCCCAGCCACTTATCCCTGCATCTTTGCTAGCTACTCGACACTCCCGTCGTCGACAAGGACGTCTCTCCTGTCCACCTTTCTATTGACATCCGTGGCGAATTCTCTGCAGGGTAACGACTGGAGCGGCCGACCAAGTGGTCTAATCAAGTACGACGGCAACGGCCTGGCTTTGGGTACTTGACCGGATAAAGATCGGTTGCTGTTGTCGACATCGGTCATGCCCTCGAGATAAGACCCGGAACATGGTCAAAACAGTCGATGTTACACCCGCAAAGCATATCGAGTGCTGCACTAGTCTTCCCGTGAGGAGGACCTCGACGTCAGCCCTCGCCAGCCTCCCCATACACTCGTTCCGGAACAGATCCAGGCCGACCACGCCCACGTACGTCTTCAGCTGGCCGAGCAGGCCCTCCACCACGGCCCGACCCGGCGCCACGTTCAGCGGCACCTCCGACTCAGGCCTCCCCGCCTTCTCACCCAGCACAGCCCGCCACGTGATCAGGTTGCCGTTCGTCTTCCACAGCAGTAGCGGGCTCATGACGCTGTCCTCCAACAGGGCCGTCCGGTCGTCGAGCATTGGGTACACCAGCACCGCCCACCGCAGGGGGGGACAGCCCCCGGTCCGACGCCAGTAGCGCCGCGCCGGCCGCGATCCCTCCACTCGGTGAGTCCCCCATCAGGACGATCCTAACGGCGTCCACGTCCCACGCCACCGCGTGTGCCGAGACGTGCCGCAGGCCGTGGAACACTTCCTCGGCGGCTACGCCGCCCGGCAACTTGGGCGCAAGGCGGTATTCCACCGTGAAGAAGGGCATCCCCGACGACTCGACCATGCGCTTAATGTCCGGCGCGTAGATTTCGACGTCGCCCGCGACTCAGCCGCCTCGATCATCGCCCGGGTCGAGAAGCGGTGGAGCCCGACCTCGGCACCGTCGTGCGACACGGAGGGGACCCTGATCTCGCGGACGCTCGCGGACGTCGGCTGCGAGCGGCGCATGGCGTGGAGGATGGTATTGGTGAAGTTGCGCAGCTCGAAGACGTCCTTGAACGGCATCGGCGCGGGGCCTTGGTTGGCGACAGCAGCTTCGTATTCCTGCCCGCCATCCCGAAGACTACACCCTGTCCATCCTTCCACTTCGGCCGGGTGAAGCGCAACAGCCGCTCCCTGGTCGAATTATAGTACTACAGATCTATCAGCACTTCTATCGTACGATACTCGGGTCCCATTATTCTCGGGGCTGCAATGATTCCGAGACGGAGTGCCGAGACGCGGGGGCTGAGGACTAAATTGTCCGAAATAACGTTGAATGAGGTGTCGTCTGCCCGGCCCCATGGCAGCATCGATTCAGGACATTGGTCACCGCGGTCGACGAGACGGACGAGCGCGCCTTGGCTCTTTCTAAGCGTCGCGGAACGTTGTAGGTCTCAAGTGCGACCAATTCGACTCGGGCAAGCGGGAAGGATCCAATCCACCACCCTCACCATGCGTCACCTCCCTCGAGAGAAACCCCCATTGTCGGAGTTGGAAGAGCAAGGTTCAGCGCGAGCCCCAGATGGTAAGCTTCGGAGTTGTCATCCGTCAACCGACAAGGAATAATGACTGGGCACAACGGGGAGGAACAACAGGAGACGCAACCCCCACCCGCTCGTTCTGAGAGACTTTCAGGAAGCCCACTTTCCCGAGTCATTCGATCCGCGGTGCTGTTGGACCTCCCACTTGTACGAGCAGCTGAGGGACCTACAAACAAAGACAACAGGCGCGCCTGACGGATACAAGTCCGAGAAACATGCGGGCGCAAGGCGATTTGGACACGAAGGATGGAGGCCAACGTACGTCGGTACCCAGGGCAGTCGGACGTGGTCGGAGAATCACACTTCTCGCGGCTAGTGTTCCCTGACGATGGTTATTTTGGCGCAGGTCCTGACAATATGATGCTCGCATCACGCTCCCAATCGTCATGTCCCTGAGTGTGTGTTTAGTGTACAGGCGACGACCTCTGCGCCCTCGGGTCTGTGGTGTGGCGACGGAGGAGGTTCGCGAGTTAGAAACAACCCATTGGCGCGTTTCAAGTGAGCATCAAGCCCCAAAGGGAGTCGGGACAGAATGAGTTGGATTGGTGACTCCTATTTGTCCCACACGGCCGTCAGCATCGCATCAGTATTACCTGCCGCGACTCCCCAAATGCACTTGCATCAAGCTAAGGCCTGTGCCGATCTGGCAAGGGCTGAAATGCTGTCAACCGGCAAGGGAACATTGGAGAGGGGAGTGTGTAACGAAAGGGAGAAAAATAGAAGAAGAGAGTAGAGCCGACCCTGATACGCCCGGAGCACAACCCCGAAAGGTCATCTCACAGTAATGGTGATATGCACAAACCCACAGCTCGGCGATCTGCAGCCGGGGTGCTTCTGGCTTCGCGATCGCAGAGTAACCACCATTAACCAGATGGCACAAGTATGTAGTAGGTAGTAGTGTAGGGGTGACCAGATCCTATAGGGAATTGCAGATGCGCCATCGGCAAAAGCGGCCCCCTCTTCCACAGGCAGTCGCGCTTAGCGGCATGGAGAAACAGGACGAGATCAGATTAGAAACGCGGAGCCACCCGAGCCAAGGTGACAGAGTCTTTGCTGCACGGTGATAATGAACATAGAGTGTGCAGGGCTGGTTCGGAAAAGGCAGGGAGGGAGAAGGTTTGGTGGTACGAGTTAGCAAGGGGCTTCGAAATCGTGCGAGAGGAATAGGCCCGATCTAGGGGGGAGGCGCCGGGGTCCGATTCAGGACGTTGGCATCGGGGCTGTGAGTGCTCCGATGGCACGTCGGCTCGCCCGATTCGTCCGTCTAGAGCACCAGTTCGTGTGGGCACGATGCGGACCGCCCTGCAGACGTTGAGGGGATCGTGAAGTCCGGGTCCACCGCCGTCCGATCGACGACACTTCGCGTGAATCAGAAATAGAGGTCCCGTGAGGCCCCAAGCCCCACTACCCCCAGGTACTATCCCCAATTGTCCGTCCCCTATTATAGGAAGCGATGGAGGCAGACTCGGGCCAACCGTGCATTCACTTTCAGGTCGGTCTATGCTGGGCGTATAGTAGGGCTTGATACATACATGTTCACTTGTTCAAGCTGTGCGCCCAAGAGGAAATGTGCACGGGAAGGGAATCTTATGTGGCGGATAAGGGGTCCAGAGAAGTCCAAACCCCAAGGCAACTGGGAATAAACATTGCGCTGAAACCCCGAGAAGTGACAGCTAAGTGACGGATTGCCAGGATGCCTCTCCAGGGGTCGAGACAGATAGGTATGGCACGCGTTCCGCTATGTCAGGGGAAACCCATGGACAAGAGCGGAAGCCAGAAAAGCTATGTATGCCCTGCCCTTCTCGGGCGTATCGGAGAAGCGAAGGCCGAGTCGCCAGCACGCCAACAAGAACACAAAACATCGGCTTGTGCCAACGGCCCGATGGTTCGGCTTGATGCAGTTACTTTCACAGGCCTACGGAGTACGGGAAGTGAAATAGGCTTCGTTCAGGCAGTCCTTCCGGCGGGTCGGTCATGGAAGGGATGCTTTGTGGTGGGAGCAAGCTATTGGCTTGTAGTGCGACTCAAGGTGAAAATCACGACCAGGGCCACTTTCGAGGTTCCCTCCCTCTCTCTCTCACACACACTCTCTTTCTCTTTTCCACCTTCCTCGGCCGCCGCCCGTGGCGTACATAGTAGAGAATACCTAGTCTCCCAAACGGAAGGTCCCGGTGCCGTGGGCAGGCGGCTATGTGCGTAGGCGGATGTCATTCTTCTTCTCCTTCCCTGGTGGCTTATTCTTTTGGCTTACCCCAGGGACAACACGGCCTTGGTGGCGCAAAGTAGAGGGAGGCACTAGTGGAAACTGTGCATGCAAATAGGGTGGTTGACCATCGCCCTTTTCAACCGGAATCGAGATCTCTTAGCCCTGGCCAAATGCCGTGTCATGCCCAGGTTGGCTTGCTTCAGCACTAGCGGCCGAGCCCAGCCTGGCGGGTTCGAGCTCTTCTCCGCAGTAGCCCGTAGCTAGGCACACCGATCGACACCGTCGGCGGTCTCGAGGCTAAGCGGGAAAGTCAATGCATCGAAATAGTATTAGATCGTAAGCGTTGCGTGATCGTCATGAAAGTTGACTATCGTTCGCCGTCGCCGAGTTCAGCTGGGCCTTTGCAGAAGCTGGCGCGAAGTGCGCCTAAGCAACTGGTTTCACCCGCCAGCCAAACTCACAGGTTTTGGAGCAGAGACCCCATCCCATGTGAAGGGAAAGATGGAGAGAAAGAGCATGCACCTCCGTCTGCCTCAAGAAGGTAGCGACGGCCGAGCAAGTACTCTACGTGTGCAGTGCTGCTTGAGGCACTGACAAATACCTACGTCGCAATTCTCTGATGCGTTCCTCGGACACCGTCGTGTTACCATGTCCCCTCGCTCGACCAGCCGACACGAGTGGCCCGCCAGGCTTTACGTCAAGTCCAGGAACGTGGCGTCGACTCTCCGCCGTTCACACGTGTAAAGATTGCCAAGAGACCACCTCCGGGAGTGTAGTTCCAAGAGCGCTATGTGCCACTACGGATGTTCCTGTTACCGTTCAATTCCCACCCAACTGGATGTCCGTTCAAAAAGCTCGACTTTGCCGGTATGTGCCCTTGGTCGGGTGAGACCGCCTGTTGAATGGCGTTGCTTGCCGTTTGCTCCGAATCCGCCGGCTCAGGCGAAGCGCAAAGAAAGAAGAAAGCCGCGGTGCTTTGGAATCAAGATAGCGCACGAATAAATAGGGTCGGCTACGGGATCGTGATACGGGGTAGGAGGCGGATGCTCGATTAGTCTCTGACATCCGGAGATGAGATGCGGCGGCGCGATCGATCGGCTATTTGGAGACGAGGCAAGAGGTTTGTTTGCTTGGGGTCGATACTCGAGAGGATCGTCAAGCTCAGCATGTCATGCAATCCCTGGCGAGGATACTACTCAAACGGACGAAAGTGTTCGATCAGTATCTCGTCATACAGTCGATACTGTAGGCGCGGTTGCGAGAGACGAGGGAGCGTTTGTTGGCAGGCGCACTGTTCCGTACCATACTTGTATAATCAGTAGGGTTGGAGAAAGCAGAATGCCATGGTTCACACAATGGGGATTTGCGGAACATGTGGGTGCTCGGTAATCTTGTCTTGCCTTTCCTCTAGTGTACCCTACTGCGTACATAAGTTATGTTCCTTGCTGTTGCTCTGGGGCGAGATCGCGCGGCTGTCTCATTTGCCCGGAATGATTCCCGTCTACAGGAGTGGAGGGGTCTGATAGGCTCGTGTCATTCGGTCACTTGGCCACCGTACAAGTAAGTGCCCATGTTATGTAGTGTACCTACACTACCTACTCCTTGTGTTCCACGGAGCTGGTCTTGAACTCCAGGACGTGGGGAACAACCAAAACAGCATAGTGCCTTACGAAAAAACCATGTCATTTCTCGTGGATAACTCCCTCCCCTGTTCAATGGATAAACTGCTCAAGACCAGGTTGACTCTGCAGCAGTGGGGGCCGCAGGCAGTAAGCATACTGCATGTACGGAGTACGCTGTACCACCTATATGTACTATACTGTAGTGGGGGCGTGCGGCCCGGCGAGCTAACCCTTCCCGGGCTGCCCATTGAATCGCAATGTATACAGAGCCTGAGAAGATTCCGAGTTTTCTCTCGCTTTCATACTGGCAGTGGCACGTAGCGTACGAAGTAGAAATACTAGGTGTTCATATCCGTACTCTGTGGCTGTGTCTGTGTCTGTGTCTGTAGAAACTGGGGTTGGAAGGGGGTGGATGCTCCAGGCGGAGGGTGTGGCAGTAGATGATCGAGGCTCGACATACAAGCAGGTAGGCTGTGCGGTACGGAGTAGTTGTACTTGTGCATGCAGGCCTGTCGAACGATTGGCAGAGGGGTTCGTCCCTATGGGCGGCGGTCTGTCAAACTCCGATTGTATCTGTACCTTATTATTGTTTCACGCTCCAGTACGAGGCAAGTACCGTGATGAGTTGGAGAGGCGAGTGGCCGCGGACTCTTCGCTCCGCGGCGGCCTTCAGAAACAGACGGCGCAACTGCTGTTGTCAGGTCATCTCTGTCCCTCGCTTGCCTGTTTGTTGAACCGCGCATCGATCTCGATGTGACGTCAAATTCCAGAGAACTTGGGAGCCGCTCATAACACCCTGACATTGAACTATGTAGGCCGACAGGAATCGCGAAGAGACTGGAGAACGGAGGGTTATTTCCAAGGGATTACCGTTCGCGAACGTAGGAACACGGCCAGCACCCAGCACCGGTCAACCACCGTCTGACCGGGTCAGCCGTCGTGGTTGCAACCATGGGAGCACTCGCCGCCCCAAGGAATAAGGTAGTGTGCACCATGCAACCATGTACAACGTACGTGTAAAGTATCTGTATCTCGGAGATTCTCTGATCCCTTTCCTGCCCTTCTTCCCCGCCCAGGTTGTTGTTTGATGTGGCGGGGTAGCAGCTTTACTTCCTGGGCGGCCTGTGACAATGGCCTGTGCCAATTCGCGTTTTCTCCGGTGGCCCACGAACTACAGGCTCGTCCGTCTCGTCGTGTTGACATGGCCACCCTAGCGTGTAAATACTCCTTGACAGACAACAACTCGCTGGTGTGTGCTGCCTGCGTGAAGGCCGACGAGCAATGTCATCCGTTTGTAGGTTGTTTACTTTCAAAAGATGGCTTACCCGGGTTTGGCGTAGCTTTCCACAATATTTTGCCAATGAAGCTTTTGTGCTGCTGTTCTCTGCAAACACGGGCTCTGCCTACAGAATACCAGTGACCATCTGAGCCAAAAGTTGAGCATCAAGGCTGGTTGCGAGACACTCACGTAGAACCCAATGTAGGTACACGTAGGCAATGTCGCCGCCAGGTCTAGGCCTTGGATGTATCAGGCGGGTCGGGGTTTACGGGATTTCCACAAACGCCGGGCTGCAAAACCTGGTCTGCAGGTGCCACGTTCTGGAGACCCATTTCGGGGACTGCCACATACCGCAATGCTGGTGTGACCCGTGCAAAGCAGGGTACATACACACACTTTCCACGATAGGTAGGTCTTGCGAAGTTTACGAAGCGCGAAGCCTCCCATGGCCGGCCCTTGGCAGGCGAGACGTTGCGGTGCCGGGCGCCCCCAGCTAGCTTGGATGGCACGTACAAATACGCTAGTAGCAGTGCACAGGGTATATATGGATCCGTACGCCTGCCCATGCTGGAACCTCCCGTCGATACCTCCGGTCTAGACAGCCAGAGATTTAAGTAGCCGGCTGTAATATTGATGGAAAGGTGCGTAATCAGTTGGACAACGCAGTGAGGGCTTGTGGTGTGCTGTGGGGATTCCATGCCTAAAAAAAAAATGAGCCGCCGTACGGTATTGTTTTTTGCAACTTGGAGAAAAATACCCAAAGTGCGGTGTGTTGAGGACCCTTCGTTGCAAACCCATCCCAGCCAGGCTGTGGGGGGACCTGGTTTTCGAAATTGGACCCTGGGGATCGATCCCCATCCCTGACCTGGTTATGTCGTGTCTGCTCTGCTTGTCCGAGGCGCGGACGCGGATAGATTGAAATGCCGAACGTCGAGTGACACTCCGATCCGTGGTGTGTTGTTACCGTAGCGCTTCCCGGCTCCCTTACGCCTCACTACAGAGGGCACGCCTCTTGCTCCTCCCCGCGGGCGGCCCATAGTGTAGGTATGCTGTTGAATTGGGTAGCCGAGACGGTCCACAAAATCCATAAGCATGGGTTGTGGCGAGAAGGTATGGTGGCTCAGGATTGTATGTCTAGGCAGCTGTGCAATCGTCTATACCGAGTACCCAGGTAGCTACGCAGCTCCTGGGCCATATTCGAGGGGGCGTGTCGGCTGCAGGATGGCAGCCGCCATTCAAGATGAGACCGGGGTGTCTTCCTCCTGAGGCAGGTTAACTCATTGGCATTATGTAGTCTCGAAGAGAGAGCTCCTTGGGACCGTTTCGAGAAGGATGCAGCATGGGCCCCCCCCTCAGGACGCGAAAACGAAAAAGAAAGTAAGACATGGCCCAACTGTCCCGATAAAAAGCAGCTTCCAGACTGGCACGAGCTCTCATGGCTGTCTCTCTTTTCTTCGCATGCATGGAGATGGAGGAGAGACAGGTCGGTTCGAGAGGATACGGTAGGGTGACTGGGTATTTTATTTCAAACCCGCGAAGTGCTTGCGATGGATCATCCGAAGGACATGGGCCGAGTAGTGTATATACGAAGTCCAAGTGGGCACAGTGGCTGCAGAGAAAAGAAGGTATCCGTAGAATTAGAGGCAAGCAAGCAAGGTAGGTAGGTATATGATAAGGAAAGAAGAAAAGAAGTGAGGTATGCCCTTGCTGGTCGGTCTGGAGTGCCCGTCCTCAGTAATGTGAATGTTGTGATTGGGATGCGGGTCGAATGGGTGTCGAAACAGCAGGCGCGGCCAAGGAGGTACTTACCCTAGGCGCACCTGCATAGATACCTACCTAGACAAGTGGCGGGCAGGGTTCTGTTTAACATACGTACATACCAACCAAATCCATAAGGTTGGAGCTGTCAGTACAAAAATGCCGCCTGAGCGACGCATCCAAGCCCTTCACTACAAATTCAAGCGTGCAAGCGAGCAAGGCAGCTTGATCAGCAGCTCGTCTAAGGGGGTCGACCGCCACGCGGGGATACATCAACGGAAAGAGCAAGGTTATGGTGGTATTGGCTCTCTCCTTCTCCGACCTATCCCTCTCCCTCGATAACAGGTGTCGAGTAGGTTACTGTAGGTATGAGTAGGGAGCGGCATAAGAAAAAAAGAAACCATGTTCCCACGAAAAAAGACGGCCAGGCAAAGGCAAGTCGGCTGTGGTGAAAACATGGGAATCATGGGTAGGAAGGCGGGGGGGTTGCAATGGGAAACAGGGTGCTCCGGTAATCCTCATGATTCCATTCTTACCTCACTTTGACCTGATCTGCCCCGTCTGCGTCCGCATGCGCTTGATTTGTCTTGGGGCTGGTGGTTACCAACTTGGTACCTTGGCAAGCTCAAGCCGCGCATGTTGCTTCTTGCTTGTTGCTCATTGCTAAGCGGCCATTTGCGTGGCTCTGACTGAACAACAACTTTCGGCAGAACAACAGATGGTAGTTTAGCCACAACTTACTCCTCTCCCACCCCTTCCCCAAGAAAGGAAGCTTCCAATCTCGTCATGCCAGCATCAAGCCTGGAGGATATGGCCCGGGGCTGTCTCCCGCCCTGTCGGTTGCACTTAGGTGGGTCCCATGGCACAGGCCGAAGCTCGAGCATGCGGATCGCCCCACTCGGTCAATGTTCCACCCCACGTCTGTACCTACCACGAGGGTGACTTCTTCTATGGGGCTGTTGCTCCTGCACTCTTCCCAAGTAAGAGACCGGCACGATACCGACACGAACATTGCACCGATGGAAACAAAAAAGAGCACATCAAGAAACGAAGCAGTAACCACGATATTCCACATGTTAGACCAGTTCTTACGTCAGTTTCCACTCGGTACCATATCAAACGCTGCACCGCAGGAATCCATCTGCCTACATCATACCTACCAAGGCAGGCAGGCACCATACCACCTACGTACCGTAACTGCCAAACGACCCAATACTATACCCAATGCAGCAAGGTTCGAATGAGAGGGGCCAGAGACGTGGAGGGCAGCAGCCGGATTTGTTCACGCAGAGAAACGGGAGAGGGAGGGAGGATGGCGGAGGGGGAAAAAGGCTCTTTCCTTCGATTCAGATTCACAGCTTAGATACACAGTACATGTTCCCGTGTGGGGCTCAAGGTGTGTGGGTGCAGGTGGAGTCTGACACTAATCCCACGCCCCTCCTTCCCATCGAGATCGATCATCAGAGCGTAACCAGATCAAACGCTCCTAGATCGTCTTGTCTAGCGATCGAAAGCAGTCGAAATGCCACTTTCCCTTTCCGCTTGCTCTTTCGACGCGGATTCCACATGCCCAACCCAAAGGTACATGCGCTTGATTGCCTGCCTACGTGGTACCTGGTCTGTACTGTAGTGTACAGATAAAAAAAATCAAAGATTGAGAAAAAAGGAAAAAAAAGTCTAGCACCTGCCGCACACCCCACCCCCCAAAGAAGGTACCACCACCACTCCTCCTCCTGCTTCTCTTCCTCTCCCCGCCAGTCTCCTGCCAAAGTTTCCTACCACCCAAATCCGAAGCTGCCATCCAACATTGCTCTGGCCTGTCTGCTCCGCGCCCGTTCGTTTCTCCCGAGCACGAACCCTTGGATTGTATAAGATTTGCTTACCGCCCTGTCCCACCTTTTGTCAACTCATCTTCCCACACCCTTCTGGTCCATCAACCGGCAACATCTCTTGAACCGACCAAGGTATTCCGACCGACAATACACAGTTGCACGCCTTGTCAACTACTACACCGTAGAGTAGAAATCAACATCATACCAACCATAGTCGCAACACCAGGCGCTTTAGGCTTCAAAGGTTCTAGCCACGACAAAGCCCATCGCCACACCTACACAGCAACTCCCAGTAACCACCTTGACGGACGGTTTGCGAACCTCTTCGACCACGCCACCACTCCTTTCGTACCACTCCCTTCGTACCACCCTCTTCATCCTGTTTATATCAATCGTCGATCACCAAGTCTCCGACGTCAACACAATGCCTAAGCGATCCTTGGACGCCAGCAACTTGTCGCCCGCAATGCAGACGGACAGGGCACAGAAGAAGGTACCAAGCAACCCCAACCACCATGTCTCTCTCATGGCGTTGAACAAGTTCAACACTGTGACAACATCGTCTACCCATCCACATACATCGTGTCGTTTACGGCCCAGAGTCTTGCGCTCTCTACTCCCCCTTGAGTAGTGATGCACCTCTCCAGCCACACCGCGCCCAGCAGATGCCGTACCAAAAACTTCCCCATGCATGTCTTGGGCTAACCTTGATATCACATAGACGGAGAGGTCTCATGAAGAGAACCAGGAACGTGCATACATTGCCGCCTCCCGGCGAGCGGACCGCAGCATCGAGGCTCGCGTGCAGTCGGCCAAGATGGCCAGCGAGATTCACAAGAAGCGTACCGGCAAGGGTTTCAAGATTTCCGAGGCAATTGTGCAGGCTGAGGAGATGTATGAGGAGGAAGAGGACGACATGCCCAGGTCTTACCGCATGCTTGCGGCTCACCTACAGACCGGCTCTGCCGAGTTTGATTACCGTGTAAACGCCTTCCTCGCCAACCGGGTAGCGATGGCAAGCATGGTTGCTGGGCTTCGCAACGAAGAGTGGGCTCAGAACCCTATCAACAAAATGTTCGCTGAGCAATTTCCCAATGCCAACAAGCAAGCTCAAGCATTATCACGCAACATCACAAACTCCATGTATTACCAGCCCGTCGCCGGCCGGCACCCAGTGCAGCAGCAGCAACAACACCCTCAGCCCGAGAACGCGGCATCGAGCCCGTTGTCTCCAACCTTTGCCTCGGCAAATTTCCAACCAGAAAGTCAGCAGTATCCGAGAGAGAGAAGGCAGTCTGTGGCTTCGCCCATGGATATGGCCACGCCGACTGCGAGAGACAACGCGCAGTCCCCACCCGCTCTGTCTCCTTCGTCTGAGGCGGCAGCCGGCACTCCATCGACGCGCACCGCTTCGACATTTCCTTCGCCAATGGCGAGCCTCGATCACAGCCTCTTCCCGCCTGGATCTTCGTTCACGGCCGAGCTGCCTATGGATGCGAAGATGATGGCACCCAACTTTGACATGAACGACCCCATGTCCCACATGTTTCTGGGCAACCCGCTGCAGCAACACGTGTTTTACCCGGATACGCATTCAATTTCTGATCTGAAACATGATCAGCATTTGAATGATATGACCTTGGCCAACCACGAGTATTTCAACGGCGATTTGAACCCGTACGCTTCCCGCTTCGATGACTCGCATAGCGGAGCGACCACACCTGCACTCAACGTCAACGACAACTGGGACGCTTATCTCGACTTCGGCGAGCAGTCCGACACTGGCGCCATTGACCCGACATTGTAGTCGGCATACCACACGGTGTAACTTGACACATTGAAGATTGGGAGGATGTAATGAGAAAGATCCAGAAAGAGGAGGAAACCCTTAAGTGGTATGATATGATGAGAGAGGACCCTGGCTGGTTCACAAGCATGACTTTTTAGAGTACGCATTTGCATCGGTCGGTCCACAAAAGGCGGCATGGGATACCCATGGGATGGCATTAGGCAATCCTTTCGGCGTTTGGTACGGGATATTTCATCCCATTTCTTTGATATATTCTTCTGTTTTGTTTTGTTTTTTCAAAGTTCTGTTCTCAAAGTCCGTCATTGTTAGGACTCGAGGACACGTATGCTTCGGCATATGCTTTTCCTTGTTTCTTTTTGCGGGCAACGCGTTGCCGAAATCTACACGCCAAAAACGTGGCCTCTGTATGTTTGTCCAAATTCGGGAATTTGATGGCATCGAAGGGGGTATTATAAACGATGCATAAGCCTTCAGGCACTGATGGCAATGGTGGGTAAGGAGCAAAGGGAGATTACAACGAAAACAGCGTGTCTGTTGATCAATCAAAGGGTTGTTGGCGGAAGCGGGGGAAGAAAGGGACGGTCCATTGTTGTCCAGCGCAAGCAAGTACTGGTAAGAGGTACGAGCTAGCAGAAACATGGCAAATTTCCCCCTCCTAAAAACTGCACAAAAAAAGAGACAAAAAAATGAATCAGAAAAGCAAGAAAATTACCTTTTCACAAACGAATCAGTGTTTTGTTTGTTGGCGTGTATTACCGACTATAGCGCTCGTTTTTGATTCCCCAGTCCCCAGCCCGAGCTCGGTGAAGACGAATCCACACCCGGATGAGTGAAGATTTCCGGCCTCGGTCAGCCGAGGGAATGGAGATGAACGGTTTGTCGGTTGTCGAGAGGATTGCCTGGGACCCACGACGAGCTTCGGTTCGCCCAGAGGGCTGCCGAGGTGTGATGGTCGGGAGAGATACAACTTGGTTGGGGCATACTCAGGATGTACACACATTCTACCGGGTCTATGTCCCGGCGTAATGTTGAAGTATGAGTGACATGAGCGACGTACATGATCAAACGTATCCAACCTCGGACCTGCCGTACCCACACGGATCCGATCCGGATCAAAGGTGAAGGTGAGAGTATCCGTACTCACCTGTATGTATTACCTAAGTGCTTAATGACATAAGCGACCGTAGCTACCTACCTACATACAATGTACATACCTGCCTGGATGACGATGCAGCCCCACTGAGCCAACGGCAGGGAAAACTTCCTACTGGCACAAGCCGCTCCCGTACCCACTGCATTTAGCGACGTGCGCATTCGCGACTCTCCGATCCACCACCGAAATAATTCCCAACCTGGAATTTCGAAGTCAGGTCAACATTGATGTTGGCAGCTTCCAGATTCACCCGCCGAGTCATGACGTCCGCACACGCCAATGGCTCCGCCAAGGCGGCTTACTCCTCATCTTCTGCGACGACGACTGCCCTGAGCCGATGGAGCATCGCGACGAAGCAGCTTCCGGCCGTGGGCAACATCAAGTCGCTGCACATCTACGACTTTGACAACACCCGTATGCTTCCTCCCGCCCGCTCCGCGGCTTCCGCGCAAACATCGATCGCAGCACTAAGGCTAACCTTTGCTCTTGTCCGCAGTCTTCAAAACACCCTTGCCTAACCCCGCATTATGGAGCGGTCCTACGATCGGCGTGCTCTCGAGCCAGGACGTCATCTGCAACGGCGGCTGGTGGCACGACTCACGAATCCTCGCGGCGACAGGCGAGGGGGCCGACACTGAGGAGAAGCGCGCGTGGGATGGCTGGTGGAACGAGAAGATTGTCGAGCTGGTGAAGCTGAGCATCAAGCAGAAGGACGCTCTGTGCGTGCTGTTGACGGGCCGCTCCGAGCGGGGGTTCGGGGAGCTCATCAAGAGGATGGTCCAGAGCAAACGCCTCGAGTTCGACATGATTGGCCTCAAGCCTGCCGTCAGCCCGACGAACCAGCACTTTTCGAGCACCATGCACTTCAAACAGCTCTTCCTGACGGCCGTTATGGAGACGTATAAGAACGCCGACGAGATTCGCATCTACGAGGACCGGCCGAAGCACGTCAAGGGGTTCAGGGATTTCATGACCGAGTACAACCGGAAGCAGAACATGAACGCGACACGTACGCGCGGTCCGATCACAGCAGAGGTCGTTCAGGTGGCGGACCTGTCAACGACGTTGGATCCCGTCGTCGAGGTTGCCGAGGTGCAGCACATGATCAACCTCCACAACGAGGAGATCGCGAAGCAACCCACTGACGTCCGCCCGAACCGCCTGATGGTGAAGAAGACTGTATACTTCACGGGCTACATGATCAGCAAGGAAGATACGGCGCGCCTGATGAAGCTGGCGCAGATTCCGCCCGGCATGCCCGAGCAGGAGCTCAAGTTCCACGCCAACAATATCCTCATCTGCCCGCGCCCCTGCCCTGCCAGCATACTCGAAAAGGTCGGCGGCATGGGCAGCAAGATGAAGTGGGAGGTCACAGGCACAGCCTGCTTCGAGAACAGCATCTGGGCCGCCAGTCTGCGGCCGGTCCCTACCACAGCAAAGTTCCACACGGACAACCCCGCCCCGCTCGTCGTCCTCGCCCTACGCAAGGGCGCGCGCCCCGTCGACGCCGGCAAGATACAGAACTGGCAACCCGTACCCGCGGATAAGGCCATGACTTTTGAAACGACAGTCGGCGAGAAGATGATCCTCCGCATCGAGCCCGAGGACCCACGCGAAGACGAGTACGAATCGCTCTTCGCCAACAAGTCTTCTAAGCGAAAACATGATGGCGGCGATTACTCCCGCGACCACCACCGCCACGGCAACAACCCTTACAACGGCCGCAACGAGCGCCGCGACTTCCACTCGGGAGGGGGTGGAGGTGGAGGAGGCGGCGGCGGCGGCGGCGGCGGCGGCGGCGGCGGCCGTGGACAAGGTCGCGGCGGTCACCGCGGAGGCGGCGGCAGGGGCGGCAGAGGCCACCGCGGCAACGGCAAGGGCGGCCGCGGCGGTCGGGGTATGCACGGCTATCGCTCGCTCGATGACGTCGAGCCGCGGAACCAGCAAGGAGGCTACGGCCAGCCTGTTGAGTATGATGACAGCAGCTACCCGTCCCTCCCAGCGCAGCCGCAACAGCAGCAGCAGCAGCAGCAACAAGGCGGCTTCTATGGTCAACAACAGCAGTACCAACCGCCCAACAACGCATGGCAGCAACAGGGCCCTCCGCCGAACGCCCCTACGGGCCCGTCTGGACGTCCTATGGGAGGAGGCGGCAATTACGGGGGAGGCGGCGGCGGAAGCGACCTGCAGAACTATTACTGAGAGCGATGGCTTAGGGTGTTTATCAGAATCCACCTGCGCTAAGTCGTGTCTGGGTGTGGGACTGATATGTTTTTGAAAGCAGGTAAAGCTTCACGTTGGGGTCCCAGGGCTCAGCCATATGTGGGACCATGTATCAATATACCAGAGCGGAGGGGGGTTCATACATTCCGCTCGAGAGAAACAAAATCGCGGCGGGTCGATCAAAAGAAAATCAGGACACAAAATGTCGGTAAGGGAGAGGGAGAGGCGGGTTAGGGTAGAGGTCCGCTTTTTCATCTTAACTGGCAGGCGAGGTCGGCGTCCCGAGGCTATGCTTTCCATCATGATACCTTAGTTTTAAGTACCTTGCAATTGCATGCAAAGTTCATTTCAGCTGAAGAAGAGAGAGAGACAGAGGTCTTCGGCCGTGCCGGAGACAACGGCCCGTCATCATCGTGATACTGTTTAACTTGTTGTTTCTTTCTTTTTTACTTTCTCTACCCTGTTTTCTTTTTCTTCTTCTTTGCTCAAAAAAGTGTCTCCTCGCCCTGCAGAATGTGAGGCATTGAGAGGACGGACCGCAAATCCATCTTTTCCTTAAACAAGACAAGAAGAACCTTGCCCCTTCCTCCTCTAGAACTCCCCAGACGCGGACCGCGACGCAAAGACCTACTCGTCGTCCGACTCCTCCTCGTCCGAGTCGTCCTCCTCGGCGTTCTCCAGCCACTCGACCAGGACCCTGCACTTGTCCTTGAGCGCCGCCATGCCCTCACCGTCCTCGCCGCGCGCGTCCTCCCACCAGGCTAGGATGCCCTCCTCCTCGAGGACGTCCAGGCCGTACAGCTGCTGCAGCATGGCGGCCAGCAGGACGCCGGCGCGGTGGTGCTCGAGGTTCCGGCAGCCGAGCAGGGCGCGCTGGAGCGCGAGCACGAACTCGACCTGCTCCGCCTCGCCGCCGCCGACGCCGACCTCGGAGACGAACTTGGACGCGCCCTTTTTCGAGTTGAATGTCACGTCGGCGGCCTTGGGGGCCTCGAGGCCGCCGTGCTCGGGCTCGAGGAGCTCCGCGGCGCGGCGGGCGAAGGCGATGGCGATGGCCTTGCGCATGGACACGTCCGAGGCGTCGTTGGCGAGGCGGAGGCCCATGAATTCGAGCTTGGCCGCGTCGAAATCGGTCGAGTCGGCGCGAAGGGCGTCGAGGAGGCCGTGCACCGCGTCGTAGTGGAAGCCCGACTTGCCCTGGGAGTCGTCCGAGACGAACGAGTCGGCGCGGTTGCGAGAGTCGGCGGAAAAGGGGGTGGTGGCCGAGCCGGCATCCGAGTCGTCGTCGTCCATTTCGGAAGAGAGGGTCGAGATGGTGGAGGTCGAGAGGGAGAGGTTGGCGAGGTTGTAGATGAGGGAGCGCTGGAGGGTCGAGGGGTCCTCGTCGTCCATGTCCTCGGCCTCGGGGTCGACATAGCGAGAGCCCTTGCCCTTGAGCCCGACGAGGGTGGTGTCTGGTGTGACGGGGTTGCCATCATGTGCGGTGACAGCGAGTACAGTAGCTTCGGGCACCTTGGTCTTTTCGTCCAGGACGACGCCATACGAAAGGAGCGAGCCGGCGTCGACAGTGCAGCCCTTGCCAACGACGCTAGAGTCGGCGAGGATGGAGCGTGTCACAATGGCTTCGTCCTCAATGATTGCGTCGTCCCAGATGAAGCTGTTCTCGATGCGAACGTTGTTGCCAATCTTACATCTCCTGCCGATGATGCTGTTGGATACTCTGCTGCCGGCACCGACGGTGGCTCCCTGGCCCAGGATTGATTTCGAAATCTTGCTGTCGGACGCCATGACCGTCCCGTCCTCTATACAGACCGCGCCGCTGGTCATCTTGTAAGTCTGGCCCGGAATGATATTGCAGTCTGGGACGAAGGGAAACGTCCAGCGGCCGAGAACGTCTTTGCTGATTGACTCGTACATTTGGAGGTTGCTCGCGCGCGCAGCGTACCCGTCCTCGAGGACCTCGGCGTAGATTGCCTTGCCGTTGAGTTCCCAGTCCTTCAGTACACCGTGTAGGAAATTCCTCCTAGGCAGCTCGTAGTCGAAACTCTCGGACCACAGAGCCAGCACCTCGGGTGTGCAGATGTCGATGCCCGCGTCGATGAGGTCGCCGCGGATCTCGAAGTCGGTCGACAGCTCGTCGATCACGGTCGGGTCGAGCGTCATGTAGTGGTCGCTCTGCATGGGATGTGTCTCGTCGTAGTGCAGACAGCGCTTCGTCTTGGAGTCGATCACAAACACCGGGTTGATGGCGTTCGGCTTCGTTCTGTGCTCGTCGGCGCCGCCCGATCGCAGGACGACAGTCATGATGTTGGTCGCGGCGGCTTCCTTGCGCGCCTTGTGCGCCGCCAGCACGCCGTCCAGGGAAATGTTGGAGACCACATCGCCGTGGACAACGATGAAGTCACCGTCCATGATGCCACGTCCGTCGAGGTCACGGAGGAAGTCGCCAATGGAGCGGGCGTCGGAGACGCGGATGAACTGCAGGCTCGTAAAGGGGGTCCGAATGGACATGGGCGACCATCTCGATGTGTTGATATAGTTCTCGATCTGTTCGGAGTGGGAGCTACAGTAGATATAGACCTCCTGCACGCCGTTCATGGCGAGGAATTCGAGGGTGTATTCGATGAGGGGCGTGTTTGCAAGGGGTAGAAGACACTGCGGGCGGGCGGTTAGTCGGCGTCGCACGTCGACGAGAATTATTTCCAAAGACCTACTCTTGGCTTCTCTACCGAGAACGGAGCGAATCTGTCTTGGAAGGAGTCGGCGATGATCTGCAATTGAGCGAAGACAAGCAACCTGGTCAGCCATCTCGCAAACCATCACCTCGGCTGCCCCACAATGACGCTTGGAAACTCACCACGGCCTGCAAGACATCCTCGCGCTTGCCATCGGCGCCAGCCTTGCCGGACTTCTTGCCCTTGCTGGCACCAGAGGCCTTTCCCTTTTGCTGCGACATCGTCTGGATGAGGTGGATCGCGACGGGGGATTGGGCGGCGGTATTCGGGGGGTATGAAGTATGGTGGTCGCGGGGTCGTGAGTCAAAGCAGACAGTCGCAAGCTTGGGATTTGGAAATTTAAGGTGAGTGACTCAACCGTTCCGATGCGGGGTGGGTCGTGCGCTAACCCTCTCTCGGTGTGCCTCGGTATGCCCTAGGTACACCGAGACTCAGATCCATGTGGTAGAGGGTAGATTGGGAGGAAACACACCATGCCAATCTAACAGTTTTATAATAAATTGGAACAAATATCATGAGATTAAGTCTCAATCTGCCGCCACTATGCTTTTTTGCGTATATTCACATAGTAAAGCTGGCAGATGAAGTGCGATATAAGACCAAATGGTGGAACGATTCACAGCTCAAATGGAGAAAGAAGCAAAGGGGGGAAACGGACAAAACTATGAAAATTTGAGAGATATTTGCACTATCCAAGAGTTTAGCTTATTTTATAAGCATTTGCAACCCACTGGACTGGCCCTCTTGATTGAAATGGAGACCTGGGGGGACGATGAAAACTCCAAGACCAGAGAGACCTCAGACCAGAGCACTAAATAAATATTTCCCAAGCAGTTTGTAGAAGACACTTTGCTTATAACCCTCTTATCACATGCGGCGAGAACAAAGCTCGGGAAGACAGAAAGGCAATGGTTCGAGAAAGCACCTCCTCAGTTCAAGGCGGAGGACGAATGTTTCGAGGCAAGACAAATAGATGTGTTGGTATCACAGGGGATCGCGATCGTAAAGCAGTAATAGTGTCAGTTCGACTATTAGTTGCTTGTGTAGATGATGATGAAAAGAACAAGAAGAAGTTGTTGCCGCGGATATTCGTGGTGGTGTAAGTGAGCCGTCGTGGTAAGTCACGTGATCCCGGATCGGCTCCACCATTGGCCGGTTGAATATCCCGACAAGATGAAAATAGCATCTGATACCTGTCGATGTTAGGAACGCAACGTGAGAGAAAAGTAGTTCGACGGTGGACTAGTAACAAAAACACGTACAATAAAAAACAAGACGGAGAACTGGAAACAGAGCCCGGCAAAACGCAATACCATTTGTGCAAATTACTATCCGCTGGCTTTCTGCCCCCACCGTCACTATCTTCATGACTTCATGTAGTAACATGTATACTATTGTCCCCGGCGAGTCTTTTTTGAGGTAACCAGACAGACCACACATTGAAAATTTTACCGGTATCGCATTTCGTCTATCCCTTATCTTTCGCCCGGCTACAACAGCAAGCACTACATCCCCTCATGCCAGTTGTCGACAACAGTCCCTTAATCAGGCAGCCAACAGCCTTTCCGTTCCTTCGGAGCAATAGCGTGTAGTGGGCTACAGAAGCGGGTTAGGAAATCTAATATGATTATCCTAGTGTGCCATGACGTCGCGAAGAAAGTCGGGATACTTTGTAAATAGCGGAACCAACTCAGCGTGCGTGTTGTGGGTTTTGTCGTGCTTGTAGCATAATATGCTGCCATGAATTTGCGGAGATGTTGCAGACCACTGGAGGCCACGTAAGCCAGCCTTATATGGCGCATAATGGGATAGGTCCGACTGAGTTTGATCTCGCCCTTTGCATATGCGGGCAGCGTAGTAGCCGCATCCAACCGTATGTAGCATCCACACCGGAGAATCTCGACAGCTTGAGCTGAAGGGATTCTGCTTCCACTCGTACATTGCTCGTCCCAAACATCCGTATTCCTTCGGTATCTTGGAGATGAAGTCCTGATAGTGCTGGTTTCCGATCTTATCTCCTGTCCGTCCCTGTTTAGTACACGATTGCATACAAGGATCTTGTAGACCGTGAAAGCGCTCGCATCCTTGTAGTCGTCAAGTCTCTTCTCCTCGAAAGAGACGACATGCTGGACCCCGCCTGTATTGTACGCGTCAAAGTACATTTGAAGTGTCCTGGAGATGGATTTCGGCGCCTCCCTCTGGCTGAGAGGACCTCATAGACCGCATTATGTTCGATGGGATCAAATGCTGGTGGACAAATAACTCTATTCAGCTTCCACCCACGTAGAGAACAAGTGGCCGTTGAGCGAACTCTCGACACGTCAGATCAGTATCAACCCAACCTATTTGGGGCGATTGAAGTATACTCACTGGCCGGCAATCAACAGGTGTCCTATAGGACTGATCTGGGGCCTCTCATCATCGGCAGCCTTAGGCTTGGAAAGAACTCAGGCTTCGGTTGCAGGATGAAGCTGCAAAGGCTCAGTCAGCCTCGGGTTGTTTGATCCGCGGCAACTCTGTTGGATCCGAAGCTGTTCGCTTGTGCTTCCCCGGTATGGAAGACATCATATCGGCCAGCAAGGGTGTTGTAGCCCTTGTGTGAAAAAGAAGGAGGCGGGGTGGCTGTCAGTGGGAGCCTTGGATAATACGACAGCGGAAGCAGGAAGGTGATCGGTGATCGGGAGGGAAGGTGCAGATGAACAGGGCCGTTGCCGCTCTTCCCATAAGTTTAATGTGCCGCCTTGTTCTTGAATGCCTAGCAATATAAAAAGAAAGAACTCTCCTATTTCGGTTTACCCAAGGTATTAGTTGCTTAGAAATACCGAGTATGTCCTTTCACAAACGGGAGCCTATGCCGACGGCGGTGTCTGGTTGACACCTCCCACTGCCCTCTATTGCCGGGTTTGCTTTCCGATGTGTCGTCGAGTACGCTGGTCGTGATTCCGCCCATCTGCTTGTCCTATTTATATCGTATTCTTGGCGATAGATTTTATATCAAAATGCACAACCAGTAGGAAGCCAGGGCCCATCTGTTATACCAGGGGGGTGGAAGCTGATTCCTGTTACACAAGAAGCAAGCTGTCTCCCATTACTTTCTCGTCACATCGTGCCCTTTGCGAAATTTATAGTACGAAGGACCTTGGGTTCTCTAATACCCTGCTCCTTCCTCAACAATCCACCTGAGCTTTCCCACCCATCGTGCAACGCCAATCTCGTCGTTCCCCTTCCCGACTGTCCTAAAACCTTTCCTATACCCGGCCTTGCAATCCAACTAGATCAAAGTTCTCTCGAAGAAATACGGATACGCAAGTCTCTCGCACCCACGCTACAGCTCTCGTGCCCATGTTGGGGAATAGCATTACCTGGGGTCGTCGGTTAACTCGTGCCGAAGCAGCGGCAGCGTCACATCATGCTTGAGGGGGATGACACATTCTCATTCGAGGGGAGTAGGCTCGCAAAACATGCTGGCACAACCACGTAGTTAACTGCCCTGGATTCCTCTTCCTCGGGGAAGGCCTCATGCGAGACCTGGGCGCACTTCAAGAAGTGAAGCTCGAGCTGAAGAGGTCCCGCTCGGCGACGCCGACTACACCCGCATCCTGACGGAGTACCTCTGGCTCACAGTCGCCGAGCTGGTCGCCGTAGCCAACAAGTACGCTGGACAGGGTGTCTTTGAGAAGTAGCGACGACGGACTACACGGGCAGGAAGCCGTGCCTCGGCGGCCGGCGCCCATATCCGGCGAGTAAAGCCGACGTCGGGGCTGCCTCGCCGGGTCCCCGTTCGTGAAGCCCCACAACGGACTACGCCTGAATGTGTTGCCAGCTGACGGGCGCGAACGGCCTCCAGCGGTACACGAGATCAGGGTGAGATTGCGGAGGAGCTCAAGGCGGGTCCGGGGGTGGATTCTTCTCATACGCCCCAACACTGACTGATTTAGGAAGCCCTCGTTGGGATAAGAAGCGGGGTTGGATGGACACGATGTTTAATTCTCAGGCTTGGTCATGGTCTGGCTGGGAAGTGTAAGGGATGCCTACAACCTGCTCGCTCCCATGCCTTGTGAGAAGCATTCGTGTGTCAAACAAGCTGCCACCCGAGCAGTTGAATAGAATAATAGACCAAGGTACGGTTCTCAAGGCGATTCATCCTCAAGGTCCCACAGGTACACAATGATAGTAACACAGTTAGAAAAACACAGTATAGGTTATCATGCCTGAATACTCAATACAATCCGTATAGTTGACTAATATATGGGTGATACTGTAACCCCCATGTCACGTAAGGATAACCAGGCTAGTCCCGTTTGCGCCTCGAGCCGGCCTAGATCATCTCAACCCGGAACCCCAGAGTAGTCGCATGCCACGTCAAAAGTGCAGAGAAGAAAGGAAGGTTCCATGGCGTCGAGGTGGGTGCTCGCAGTCGAGTCAGGATACGATGTCTCGGCAGACACGCCTCCTATACACAGAGTGTTGGACCACGATGTGTCAACCAGAACCCCAATCTCCCTGTTCAGAGAAAAGGAGAGGGAGAGGGAGATAGGGAGGGCTCGGTGATGTGGCCTGATCCGATCAAGGCCCGGACGCTCGGGGTCTGCTTGGCATGAGAAGCTCATTCTTTTTTTCTTTTTATTCTTTCTTTTTTATCCATTCCATCTCAGGGTCATCACAGTTGAGCGGCAGGGTCGTTGCCGCGCCGGAGGAAGCCGAGTCGGACTGGAGACTATAGAGGAGAAGATTGATTCATTATGTGCCGTCATCATTTGTCTCACGAACCCTCTGCCCCATGTTGCCTGAATAACGGTTCCCTAGACCACTTGCTTGGGTCCCAGTCCTACAGTTGAACGTCGGGGGATTCCCATGCTAGGGGGGAGGGGGCGGGGGGCCCACGCGGTCTTGAATGTTTCCGTGGGCCAAGGCAGAAGAACAGTACAGAGTCAGGGGCCGTTGCATCGAATTAGAAAAACATGGGAATGCGGTACACATTTCAAAAGGGGTCGTCTCCGCGCGCCAGTGGTTCCTACGCTACGTGCGTCTTGCTGCACGAGCCCTGGGACGAGGGTAGCTGACGGAGCACAATGTCAGAAGCGAAAGAGAGAAATAAAATAAAAAAGCGCCAGGACTTCGGATCCGGAGGCCTCGGATTGGGGTTGGAAACGCCCAGTGCAGATCTTCTACTTATGCTCCCTCCCTCCATTCCCTATTTAGATGGAGACGGTGCAAGTGAAAGGACCGTTTTCGTATAAGCGAAGCAGAGCAAAGCTGAAAGTGGATGGGGTAAAAAATAATAACAAATAAAAGTACCCAAAAAGAAAAGTTGGAGAGCAGACCCTCTCTACCAGGTATTATTAGGAGGCAGCCAGCCAGCCAGCCAGACAGACAGACAGGGAAATATCCGACTTTGCTGCCAGCTAAGGGGCCTGGGTCAAAACGGACCTCTGCTCAGGAAGTCGCCCTCCCCCCTGATCGCACGTCTGTGCTACAGTTTCGCCCATTGGGATCATCCCCCCAGGAGCTGCGATGGAGTGAACCGGGGTTAGCCTCTCACTCACCTGACGCCCGAAAAATCTTACCGTCCCGCCCTCGTCATTTTCCCTCTTGCCCAAAATCCGAATCTCCCCCCTCATCGGGAGATCTCACGGACCCTGGCCCTTGGCGCCAAGATTGCCGTGTGGGCCTTGGTATGTGTGTGTGACCCGTGCAGCACTGGCAGCGTCCCCTCAGTTGCGTCATACTGGGGCCGGCGTCACTGTGTCGATGGGGACAGGCCAGTTTGGAGGAGGGAGAGTTCCTTTTTGCAAAACCTGGCTACTTCAGCCTCCTCCATCAGAAAAGCGTGCGTGCCATCTTGGTGCAGCCTCCCACTCAGACGTTGAATGATGACGACGGATTCAGGGTCGCGACAAAGCTTCTTTGCTTTAATTTCAGGCGTATCAGCCCCAGACCCCTAGGAGGACATAAGTTCGGTATGGCCTGTGTTACCTACGAAGGTGCGAAGGAGGGAGTAGGTACATACATGCATACCTACCCTCTTGACCGCCCTGGATACGTACCTTGGGATGGACAATCCTGAGTCCTTGGCACTACCTACTGTAGTTCCGTTCAACTTTCTTGGCTCTCTCGTCTTGTCGATCTCGGCGCCGGATGGAATCCTGTCCGTTTCGGATTCGACCTGGGACTGCAAAAGGCCTTCTTCAGTGACGGCAGCTGTATCCGTATGCAACCCTGAAGAGATTTGCTCGCTCCGGCCAACACATTGCTTCCCGAGAGTCCCTTGCATTGTCTGCATAAGGGGGGACACGGCGCGATTCTCCGCAAACGACTGGGGCAACACGCTGCTGTGTGTCCGTCTGAATTATCGGAAACATAGAAGCTTCCCTTGGAAATCGGTTCGAACCGAAAGTCCTCTGTACTGTGCCCGGTCATTGAGCCCTGCCGGTCCAACATGAGCCGAGTTGCGTGGCATTCTCAAAAGATTCAAGGGTCAAGGTCAAAAAATCCAAGTCGATTGGTTTCGCATGCCACTTGTCAGCCGCGTGCTCCTCTTGCGTCGTTGCGCCGCAGCCTTACTATCATGTCGTGATGTTCCGTGTTGTCTACTGCGTGGTGAGTGTGGTTAGTCGGCGCCGATCAGCCACCCACCCCCGTCTCATCGTCGGGGGGCCGGTGAGCACGCGCCGTCTTCAGGTGGGAGGATGGCCGAGGGAGGCCGAACGGCCGAACCAACTGTTAGGTTGTGGTAGCGCCCAACTTCCAATGGGTTCCGTTTTGGGAACGGTCCTGGGAAGATCCAGTTAATCAAGGCTGGCCAACCAGGAGGTCGGTGGCCATCGCGAATTGTTGCTATCTTGGTCTCCAGCGCACCATGGTTACTGTGGTTAGGACGGCAAGACGGCAGGCCATCGACAGGCCACCATTACGCCGTGACACTGACAGTCGGGGGTGTCAAGCCCACATTGGTTCACACCGTCATCCACTCGAATGACAACCGAAGACTGTTGACAGGCAGGCTATTACACAGTACACTGTACTAAGGTCACCAAGGGGCCTCGGTGGATTGGTGGATTGTCTGAGGGTTCCTCTGAACCATTGCGTCCCCGCACCATAGGGTCCTTTATCGGCATGGAAATCGGAGGGTATTGGATAGCCTCGGTCTATATGTGCGGCG